TATTACCATTTTCATTATTTGAGTTTCTATATTTTGTTTGTTAGTTAAAAAATATGGAGTTTTAACAAAATCTTTATAAAGGCTTTCATAAGTTTCTGTAGAAAACCCATTTAAAGAACTATATTTTTTAATTAAGTCAACTGAATGAAATATCTATGAATATAATTTTGGAAATTTTAATTCAGATAAAGAATATGATTAAAAAATATTAATAAATTGTTGGGCCCAATTTATTATTAAACTCTAAATAAAATAAAATCATATTATTTTAAACATTAAATATAATTAAAATAATTTAAAAATTTGTGAATATATTTAAAAATCTTTAAATGATTATTATTACTTCAAATTGATTTAACTCATTTTTATCATATTTTTCATACCGGCTCATTAAATACATATTGTTCCAAGATTAATAAAGATTTAATAATTTTTTGCTTAAAGAATCGCTAATATTTAGATTATCCAGAACAAATATCATAACTTTTATAAGATTTCAATATTCATTAGCAGTTATCTGGGAAAGTAACTAAATTCTATTTTTAAATATTTTAAATTCTGGATATCTTAGAATATTGGCAAATCTATTGTCTATATTATTTAGAATTGAAGAACTATATAAATCTTTTAAAAAATTATAAGTAAATATAACTTGATAACTAAATAAGCCCAAATCTAAATGATATATTTTGTCAATTATAGTAGCTTCATAAATATTAATATTTCTAAAAAATAAAAAGTTAATAAAATTAATATTATTAAATTATATAATTTACAAATTAATAAAAAATAAATCAGATCCTTGTACCAAAAATTGAGCTAACGACAAATAGTCAAAAGACAGTAAAATACACTATTGAACAGTACTTTATAAACTAAGAGAAAAGAAGTATTAAGAAAAGCCAACTAAAGTTTACTATTACTTCCAGTCTGTCTGCCAACTAGTTAGAGACGTATAGCTGAAAAACTGCTTTTTGAAAAAAATTTTCTTTACAAAAAGTGAATTTTGGAGAATCGGCTTTGACCCTGTAATGTAGATCACTAAAAACAACAAACAATCATGTGATGCGCCTGCGACTAAAGTAAGCAAACAAACAACAATGCAAACACACGTTACGTGCAAATAAGAATGCCACTACTTATAGAATATCAAAACTTTTTCTCCAAGTCAAGAGAGGAGAAACTTGCACTTTACAGTAAACAAGAGCCAACAACACTAAAACAAGACAGATTTGTAGCAGAGTATCTTGGAGTGAATGACATCTGCCTCATTGCAATTATTTGCATAGTTATCGAAAGATATAAATAGGCAGAGAGCAAAGAGTTTAAACATGAGTCTATTTTAGATGAGAAGAAAACTTTGCTAGGGAATATGGTTACTACAAATAATACACAAGAAGAATCTGACAGAAATAGCTCGATTCTGATGGACATTGTTTCTATTAAGCCAATTACCCTATTAAGCAATTATGGAAAAAATATACTAAATGACATCAAAAACTCTGCTCGTAAAAGATATTCCACTGAACAGGAAGAAACAACTACTACAATTAACAATAAGCTGGAAAGCAGTCAAAGCATACTTGTACAAAATGAAGTCAGCACATTAGATTATGGTTT